ACTTTAAAGTTAGGAGTAATCTATAAAATGGGAATACCTGAGGATGAGAGCCTAGTTGTTCTGGCCTCCATCTTTCATGACATAGGAATAAAACAGTCCATCCTTTTCTCTGCTTTAGGACCTTACTGACAACCTACTAAAGTTAATGGAAATACTTCAGCAGGGGGATTTGCATGTTTATTTTTTTAAATGCAGATAAGCATTGCAACTGAGCTCCCTCTTATTTGAGGATATTCTGATGGGTAGACTATCCCTCTAGACTCTTGCTTGGAGTCTCCCCCAAGGCAGAGAAAATATAATTCTGCTTCACAGAAGAGAACACCTCTGAGGGGATCTAAGGGCACTGACCCTGCAAGCCTTAATAAAGACACTGAGCTGAGAACTGAAAACTACTACAAAGCTGAAAAACGGCTTGTGATAGACAGCATTTTTACTATAAAAACAGGAATCTATGAAACAGGCAAGTGGGAGAAACAAATCACAACTACAAATAACACACAGTAAAAAAAATAACATTATTTTGTTAGGGAAAGCTTGTAGCATCATCAAAGACAGAAGATAAGCAAGAAAATGGAAGAAAACAAGCTATTTTAAGATTTTTAATGAGGACACTGTCTGACTTTAAATTCATCATCTATGTTCAGATTAGCTAAAATGAAGTGTTTACCTGATCTACACTGATAAATTTGCTGACCTGCTAAAATTATTTCTTTTTTACCTTTGAAATTACTGAGGTTTTAAAATGTTATACACAAATATTGATGTCTTTCCTGTGAATGTCATTTATCCGTACAGGGACTTTACATCTCAGTGTGTAATGTAACTCCTAATTCCTTGATAAAGATGAAGTTATCATTTCATGAGACATTACTGCCCTAATTTTCTTAATTGCTGCATTAAATCTTTTTTGGTCATTTTCTGACCACTGGATTCACTGGACTGTTGAACTACTTATAAAGGGGTTTTTCATATAGATACTGTCACCTTAAACAAAAAGGCCTGACAGATGATATGGATGTTGAAAATAAAGTTTGAAGTTTCATAACTGGCTGAAAGTTGATACTTGATTTTTCTCCCACAAGAGCTCCTTATTAAAAACGTAATAAAAGGTAAGGATGAGTTCTTTGTTTGATACAGTGCAACACAATGACAAATGAAAGAATTGTTCAAACAGATTAGATTTAGAAAGGTCAACAACCAGATCCAAACAGTGAGGGCTGGTAACATGGATGGGAACAGCACATTATCATGCCATTGGGGACAGCAGATTCAGATTATAATTGTTGCACTCAGTTCTACATCTGGGAAGAGCTAGCATGCCAACAAATTTATTGTAGCTATAACCTCCCTTATTGCACAGCTACAACACCTTTGTTTAGTGCATATAAGTTGGCAGAGACAAAGCCTTCCACCTCTCACAGGAATAAAGATTAGTAAAAGGGCAAACTTATTACAGTGTTGTATGTACAATATTGCAACCACTTCAGCTGCTTCCATTTCAGCAGTTAGGTGAGCCTTTTATATGTTATCCACAAAAATCGACCTTGTAACAGCATTGTGAACTCCCATTAAATCAGTGTACTAGCAGCTATCAAATCTATGACGTTCTATCATCCCTTACAGATGTGGAATATGAAGCACAACAGCACACACACACCCGTGGCAGGGGTTTGGAGTAGATGATTTTTAAAGGTCCCTTCCAACCCACTACATTTTATAATTACAATTTTTTTAAAAACAGTTGGTTTGTAGACCAGGTAGCATGGCTTAAGCACTAGTGCCCTGGACAGCTGTGCCTGCCCAGATGTTGGGCAAGGCATTTAAACTTTTGCAACTATACATATACACTTTCTCACTTTTTGTTTGACTTCTTTATTTGGACAACAGGCTATGAGAGACAGGGCTGTCTAGCATACCTTCTGAACAAAGAGTAGCTCAAGGGAGACTCAAATACTGCTATTAAAAATGCCATTTACATGGTCACAATATAGGGGAAAAGATATGGAAACCCCTACTCTTAGGAACAAAAAAGCATATTTCAAATGAGCAGCCTCATCATACTATCATGTCTGCATATACAAAGTAACTTAGCCACATCAGTATGTGGCACAACTGTAGTCTAACTGTGTACAAACAAATAAAAGCATATGTGAAATTGGAGAATGGATGTCACTGGATTATCACGCAGGCTGCCAATATGAAGATGCCAATTATATCTGTTTTATTTATTTTTCTAACATAAAATTCCATTCCTGCATAATAGTACCTAATGTACTGCCTATCTTCACGGTAGCATAGTTACAGGGGTTTTTTTGGTTCATTGACTTGCCTATTTCATTATTAAACTCCATCCTCCATTTTATTATGCAGCATTTTCTGCCATAAGGCTTTCTAAACTCTTTGTTTCAGCTGTTCAGACTGATTCTTTATCGTCAGCATACTTCACCTCAATCCTCAGACCACCTTTTCAAATTTTTTTCTGAAGATGCTGAATGCAGGTCTCAGCATAGGTCCCTATGAGATCTCACCAGGATTCTAAAAAAAAGGTCACTTATTCCTGTTCTGAAAAAAAAAGATCACTTATTCCTATTTTTTAACTTCTAACTTTTAATTAGTCCTGTGGAGGGTGACAGGGTCTGGAGCACCTCTCTTACAAGAAAAGGCTGAGGGAACTGGATCTGTTTGGCCTTGAGAAGAGATGACTGAGAAGAGCCCTCATCAATGTGTCTAAGTATCTGAAGGGAGGGTGTCAAGAGGATGGAGCCAGGCTCTTCTTGAGAGTACCAAGCAACAGGACAAGAGGCAACAGGCAGAAACTAATGCACAGGACGTTCCACCTGAATATGAGGAAGAACTTCTTTACTGTCTGGTAACCGTGCACTGGAAGAGATGTCCCAGAGAGGTTGTGGAGTCTTCCTCCCTGAACATATTCAAGAATGGTCTGGATGCAATCCTGTGCCATGTGCTCTTGGATAACCCTGCTTCAGCAGGGAGGTTGGACCAGATGACCCACTGTGGTTCCTCCCAACCTTACCCATTCTGTGATTCTGTGAATTTGAGTCACAAAAAATCCTCATTCAAATCCTTGAGAGATTATTCTCTAAAAAACAGTTGTTGAAATCTTCCTCCAAAAGATCTTTAAGCCAAAATACTCACATATTGATCTGAATATTCTTACTCATATATTTATTGCCTTCATGCAATAAATCAGAAGTTTGATCATGCATTAATTTTTTTAATTAAAAAAAAAGAGCTCAACCCTTCTCCAATTGCAATTTCTCTTTGTTTTAATTTCCTTCATATGTAAATCAGACATGTTGGTCTCTTCCTCTCAAATTCAGCCACTAAGTCCTTTTAAAATATTTGATTATATTACCATCTTCCATTCCTCTGATTTCAGCATTGCACATCACTTAGTTCCTCAGTTCTGTTTTATTTCCCTCATAGCTCTTTGGCATCTGCCATATGAACCCATCCTTTGCCTCTCTTTCCTTTTTTCTCCCCCTAAACATTCTCCAAACATTTCACAGTCAAAAGCTAGTCCACAGATACTTCATATTTATGTAGTGTCTGATTTGTAATAAAGAGTCCTTCAATACAGATCATGAAAGTTTCCCATATACTAAAGAAGGAAGAAAAATGATGAACAGATTAGGCTATACTCTCTCACATCAGCTATGTTTGGGGAAAAAAAATAAAGCTTGAAAAGCTGAAAACAGTCTGAGAAGCCTGAAAAGCAGATCTATGTAGGGAGCATTTTCATCATTTGTGTCATGTTCACCTGAAGAATGGCCTGTTAGCAGTGTGCCATCTGCCTTAAATATCTGGCTGTCAACTTTACTCTTGGATGCCAAATGCTCCCCATGGTTCGTTTCCAGGTAGGTTCTTTCTAGTACAATAGAATGGTAGGTTACACTTGATTGTAAAAGCAAGATATTCTAGTATACTAAAGTAAGAAAAAGCAGCACAGATTTGTCTTTAAAACCTCTCTGAATGGATGGCATATGAATTAAGAAATGACAACTCACCTTTCCACCTCATCATACAGGTGAGATGATCTTACAGGTAAAGTAACCACTATTTTTTGTATCTTAACGCAGAAGATTTGTAGAAAGGTTCATATGCCTCTCAGAGTAAGAGCTCTTATATGACACACACCAGGAGTTTGATATGAAGTATTATTATCTTTACTAAACCACTCCTCTTTTTTCCTTTTTAAACATACTAAAAAATCTGGAACCAATGTATTTTATTTCACAGCTGTGAATACTCTACTAAAACATACATCAAATAAGCTATTTGCAGTAGTCCTTGTCGAGAAACTATGCTTTTTCTTAAGGGTAGACAGTCAGGAAAATGAGTATTTTTCTAAACATATTACTGTAACTGAGAAGACAGACTCTTAGCCTTAAAAATAGCAACAAAGATAATAAACAATTGTGTTTTTACTAATAGAATATATTTCTAAATGTCAGTAATGGCATTTTTAAACAAAAAAGGCTAGCAATGTACTGTAAATGTGTGTTACGAGGAACGTTAGCATGTAGCTGCCAGACAATTTCAATGAATGATTTCATTGTTGAATTATGAAGTCATTATGTTTGATATAATTATACACATACAATCCAGACCTGATGCAGATCACATTCAAGAAGAATTCCAAGCAGACAGAGGTCATCATTAACCCTCTGCCAAGCAGGGTTTATAGATAATTATTAGATAAATCTATATATTATACCTAGTTCAAACAGTTTCTGTTGTGCTATTCTTTGCTCATTGTGAGGAAAGAATGTTTAAGGTAGAACAGCTAACATAGATATGCAAGGACACACTCATGTACCCATGCACAAAACCTCATTTACAGATTCTTCCTTCACTTCTATTCTACATCTCTTTTCTTAACATTTGCTTCTATAGATCATCTCCCAGCGTTCAAAATACTTGTCCCCTCATGGAAACTTTTGCTTGGACACATGAAAACGTATGAACTATCCTCCTACCTTTAGCAGGTAAGTTTGGCAGTCACTGACATAATCATACTCCAGTCCATCAAAGGTATAATAATGTCGATCTCCATAAATAGTGCAGACAGCAGGACAGGGGTAACTAGTGCAATTGAATACACCTCTCCGACAAACACTGTAAGGAAAACTAACAATCAGTATCTTCTCATAACAGGGTCATTTTCTGTATATTTACAGAAATAGCTTTCTTGGGTTCTTTATTTCAAATCATACAGAAATTAATCATTCATAAACAGAAGAAAATCCTTAGACCTTGAAACACACAGTTGTTCTGTGGATTACTTCTGAAGTTCTTGATGATGCTATGGCAGAAAAGTGTTTAACATTTTGCAATCAGCCCAATATGTACAATGAAAATGCATAAGAGGCAAATGTAAAATCTAACACTTTTTACAGTTTATGCAAATATTTCCATCACTGCCTCCAGTATAGATAAGACACCATGCCAGAATAGGCTCATTTATAAAACATCAATATTATACTTTTTCTCAAGAAATTTTGATTAAATTCTCCACATATTCAAAGCAAAATACATTCAGCTGCTACCCGTAAGATTTCAGGGCATCAGACAAGTATGGAATGAATTGAAGGAATTGATGCTGATATTTTGCAGGATTACCTTTCCTGTCAGCTACATTCAATGACTTACACAAGTAAAACTAGACAATGTCAGTACTACCTTCATACAAATTTGTGTAAGTGTAAATGCTCAGTTGATTTGCCAATGCAATTTTTAAATAATTAAAAGCTCCAATGCCAATATTTTTCCATTATCAGATATATACATAACTGAATAGAGATATTTTGGCTAGGAGATTATAATGGATGTAAAACTGGTTTGCATCAGTATGAATCAGGTGAAACTCCTTAAAAAAGATGCTGAGTGCTAGCTCATTTTTCAATTCTAATGGCTTTTTTTTTAATTGCCCATCTTCTTCCTATACAATCACTTGTGCTAACTGACAACTCACACTGCAAAGAGTCCAGTTCCCAAAGATGTAGACTATTTACCACAGTCATACATTTAGTATCTCTTTTTCTTCTCCCATCGTTGTCTTTCATGACATTTTATTCTCCAAAATGCCATAACTGATATATGTGGAATTAAGCACTTAGAATTCTTGACTGCTTTTTAACTTGGTTATATTCATCTTCCTTTCCAGATCTGAAGAAGCACTCACCCCAATGTCTTCCTACTTATCCAAGTCTATTAGTGAGCCTAATAGAATATGTATCATGTAACTGTCTATAAACAAGCATATACATTTTTACTTTTCAAAGTACTCTACACATTTTCTGTATCAGTTTCACCTTGGAGCTAGGTTCAGATAACTTGGAAGTATGCAAAAGGAATGTCACTCACCAGGTGTAACATGGTGTAGCTATCACTTCTCCTGACAGAAATTCCCTGTCTTTCCATGTGCATGGACAACTGTCAGGAATATAACATTTCCCTCTATGCTCAGCCATCCTTCAAAATAAAAGAATTATTAAGATGAAAGAGTAAGTTCACAAGCAGATCAACATAAATGAATGTGTAGTGTATTGTCTAAACCCCACCTAGGGCAACCTGTCTTCCATCCGGCCAAGGGCAATTGGTTCATCAGCAAAAGCTGTCCAAATCAAATGGACTCCACTGTGCTCAGCTGGAGACCTCACCAAGCTCACAGCTGCAGCTCTCCTTCCATCTCAAAAGGGGTATGTCAGTGTGGGACAGCAGCTCCATGCAGGAGCATAGGTAGTGGAGGTACTGCTCCCTGAAAACTGCAAAGCATCTGTGTATGATGCGGAGACAGCAGCAGTACTGCCCTTCCCTCTCTGCTGCTCTCTCATCCTCCTGTCCCAGGGAGGCAGCAGGACTGATGTGCCTGCTCCTCTGCACAGAGCAGCAACTGTCCTGTTCAGAGTGCAGGATAGTGAGCTGGGCTATGGCAGCTGTTCAAACAGTATGACTGTGAGAGCAGAGTTTAGATCTGGTTTTAACTTATATTTTCATTTTTTCAAATATTCAAATGAACTTTCATGCCTATACTGCTAGTTCAAGTGCATGCAAATATCATGGTGATGTTTCAGTAAAAATATACCACCTTACTACTTGTACAGATTCATGTATTTTTTGTGTTAAAAATAACTATTCATTCCTATAACACTAATGGTTTTGAAAGCTAACTTCTCAGTTGAGGCAGAAGTTGTAGAGGACTATAGAATACCAGCCAAGAACAACTAATGAAATCTTAAATATCTATGCCTGAAATCTGTCCTTCACCAGTGTCTAGTCATCTATGAACTTCACAAGGTGCAGGAAGGCGAATTCTGGCAATCTCCTTACACTCTGAGCTGTGCATAACTGATACTTTGTCCAGGGACCACTGGCTACAGACACAATGAAATAAAATGAATTGTTGAGGAAAAAACAGGGAGCACTCCACCTGAGGCCAAATTACAGCAATTCACACAGCAGATTTGACAGCGAGGGAATGGAAACAAATGAGGGGAGTGGTGGTTGATCCTGATAGGAAGTTCATAACAAAACTTTTTAGATTTTATACTTGGATTTGATCCCTGCCAAGCTCAGTAGCCTATTTCTGGGCACCAAAATCCAAATACATGAGCTGAGAAAACGAAAAAGAAGGACAGAGAGAATGAAGGGACAGAGGACAGAATGCAGCCCAAACACCTGCCCTCCCAGCCCCAGGCTGGGCATCAATATTATAAGCCTGACTAGAAGTCTAGATGACATTTACTAGTCTAGATTGACTCAGTGACTTGGGCAGCACTAAGCAGGAGCACAGATGGTTTGCATTATATTTTTTGGTCATGTTTGCTTCTACACTCAATTAAACTATACTCTGCAAGTGATGGAAATCATGTCCTGTCCAGACAGACCCAAATACCAGCCAACTGGACTAGTAGCAAGCTGAATATCTGATGGGATACTGGAATCATGGTCTCTGCATGGAGAAACAGTGAGACTCCAACTGAGGCAGCGCTACTGCATGGAGCCTCACACCAGCAGGAAAGGGCTTTGAAGACCAATGAAAAGGTTGGCCTTTCAAACTGTGACTGTGTGTCTGCAACAATTTATAGAACAATTGTTTCAAAATTAGAGGTGCAATACCACTGGAATTTAAAAAGCAAAAAGAATATGCAGAGTTGAACTGTGAAAAAATATGTATTTGGCTCATGCTCCAAGTTGTTACGTCAAAACTTACCCAGGGGGGCAAATGCAGCCGCTTGCACAGGGTGGTGAGGGGACACAGGAGAAGTTCATGGCGAGGTTTGCACAAGAGATCCCACAATTCACACCTGCTGCTGGTAATCCAGGCACAGGAGATCTGCAGTCATAGTAGATTTTTCCTTCAGGGCATACGTGAACTTCAAAGGCAAATTACAGGTTAGATGAGATCAACTGCTCTTGTACACTGAAGGCTGGTTTTGTTCATCTATTTATTTTAATGCACAGTGAGCCTATGTTACAGTACACATAGGAATGCAATCAGAATAGAAGCCTATAACATATTCTATATTACAGAGATATAAAATGAATGTATGTTCTAGCATTTTTAAAAGGCCAAAACATAATATTAAGCATCTGGATCTATGCACCCTGGACCTGATTCACAGTCCATTTTTAAAGATGGAGTAATTATACCTTAGTTAGAAACAATCTTTAGAAGTGGCATAAATTTCAGTGCACTGAAATTGCTTCTAAATCCATTAAGAATTCATTAAAAATTTACCTTCTAGAAATCAAGATCTTGAGGCTTCCTAAACAGGGATAGTGAGCCTAATTATAGGTATTCCCATGAGAAAACCTTGACCATGTTTTTAATATATTGTTTTTAATTTCCCAAGTGACTTAGTAGTACAATTTGTGCTACAGAAAAAGAAAAGAAAAAGACCAAAGTAACTTGTACTCCTAAACTCCTATTTTAAGTATGTTGTGATGTTAAGCATCTCATAATGAAAATACATATGAGAAGAAAACCAAATGACTATTCAATGTCAAAACTTTCTATGTGCAACTTTAATATGGGACAACGCTGTAATTTACCATTATTTTCTGTAGCGGCTTCAATACATTTCACTGTTCCATTCAAACATTGACTGTAAAAGAAAAGGAAAGCCATGTTTATTCAAGGGGAAAATGTTCCATAGCCACCATGTTAAGAGAGATAATACAGCTCAACTCAATTTAAACAACAAAAATCAGACAGAGAAAGAGGATTAAAATCCAAAAGCATGATTTCTGCCCAAATTTTTGTAGCTATTTTTTAAGTGCTGATGTGTAATGAAGGCCCACTCACAAAGGTGGTTATGTACTATATAACTGCCTAACTTTCACCGAAATAAATAAAAAAGTTCGGAATGTAGGGCCAAGTGATTCAGGATGCAGACAGTATAGTGCAAAACGTTATCCACCTTGGTGAATATGGAAGGATACAGTATGCAAATTGCCTGCTGCAGAGATGTTAGGATTCTTTTTATGTTAAAATAAAGAATTGCAGAAAAACACATTCAACAACAAACTCACTCCTCTTTTTTTTTTACTTTTCCATAAAAAAACAAGTTGTGAAAAAAACCCAAAGCATTGTAGAGGCATTGCAAAGCCAGAAATATGAAGTTCCTAACTTCACTTCTTGAACTACATGATTACCAAACCTCCATTATAAAACTACAATATATAAGTAAGACCTCAGCAAGAATCAACCTTGACACAAAAGTCAGAGACATTACTTTAAATCAGCAGGTTGGGAGCATTTCTCGTAAAATGAACAAGTTTGACCAGGAAACCTGGGAGGTTTCACCACTTACTTCACTGAAGTCAGATTCCTTCATGAATTGATAACACAAAATAACACAAATATAGCTCCCTGCAAGCCTTTATTTTGAAAGACTGTCCAAAATAGAATCATATTGTTTATTCTCTCCAAACCAGCCTCACATGGTTATACTAATGTTCTCAGGTCTAAGAACAGGACTGCAACTTTTCTGTGGGTGTTTGGAGATGCTCTTTAGTCCCTGCCTTACAGAAATTTCCAGTATCTTGTTAAAATAATCAGGTACATAATCCAATTTATATTAGGTTCCCTTTTACTAAGTGTGCAACAAAAATAAAATCTTGATACAATAAACCTTCATTCTACATGAAAAAAATTCTCAAGCCTCTTAAGTAGCATCCAACCTGTGATACATGAAAGATAAGACTCTTGGCACTCAAACCTACCAGGAGCCTGTTGGCGTAGAGAGGATTTCTCCAGGCTGGAGGGCTTTGCCCTTGTAATGACAATGACAGGCAGATCTGTTAAAAGAATATTTATGCATTTGGATACAAAAACAAGATGAAATGGGATTTAAGGGCAATCCATTTACCAGGCTATTATGAAGAGCAGGCCTTGTAATTCATTAATTCAATCCTTATATTTACAATATTGTTTGAAAGATAAGAACTTGAAGATGATACTCAGACTGTATTGAAGTCAGTGGCAAAATTCCTATCGTCTTCAACAAAGCCAGGATTTTCCTTAATCTCTGTGTTATTTATTTGCTGTTTCTGTGCATTAATCTAATGGCAAGGAGTTTTTCTCCCCAGTTATGGGAGTAATATCACAACTTGTAGTTCCCATTCAAAATATTATCAAAATTATGGGACAGAGCAAATATGATAGCAAAAACCAGTAATTCTCTCTGTGATAAGAGCCAGATGGATTAGAAGTAGCAGCAGAAATATCTAGAAACCATGCAAAACTATGTGAATAGCAAGTTACTTCCCATGCTTTAATAGTCTGAAACAGTCTTTAACCCTATAGTACGAACTTTACTGATTTTTCCAAAATATATGTTGCAATGAACAGAAGTAACTGTATAATCTTGAAATGTACATAAATACTCATTCCAGTTTTTAATTCAGTGCCTCAGTAACGCACCATGGTGGTAAGCGGTAAAATTTTGGTACACAATATACAAAAACTATTTCCTCTCATTGACCATTTACTTTCATTTAGCTGAAGGGGTTTGCATTGTGAGACAGTAAAAAAGACATTCCTAGCCACTCTTTTCATACTACCCCTTACTTTATGGATTGTTACTACATAGATTCCTTCTTAGTTTTTTCTGAAGTGTTAAAAACAAGGTTTCATGTGAAAATGCATTCCTATAAAGAAATTTCATCACTCTTTTCTAAAGCAGTTTGGCATATCTGCTCTGAATTGCAGTAGATGGCTGTACATACACTCCACTATTGATTAGCAAAAAAGTAAATGAAATCTTCACATACTGTTTGCTATCCTCTTTAGGCAGTCTACATCTTGAGGGAAACAGCAGATAATATGGTCAATATTTTAATCTTGGTAGAAAGAGGAAAATGTACCTATACATATATTCTAGTTTCTAAAGACTTACATTGAAACACAAAAGTTGACTGACTCGTCGAAATATTTCCCATCAGGACAATTACATCCTTCTGCACAGTCGTCACCACAGATATTTGCCACAGAAAGTGAAGCACAGGAATGTTTACAAAAAGAAGAGCACTGATGATAAAGCATACCACTGTGACACAGCACAGCTGGAGGAGAGAGAGGGAGAGAGAAAGGAGAAAAGCATACTCTTAAAATGTAAAAAATAGAAAACAAAGCAGTATATCATGGGAGTGGAAAAAAATGCAAAGCAAAATGGTCTCTTGCTGCACTGGGTTTAGTTGAAAAGCATGAGAAAAATATGCCATTTTACTGATTTCTTAAGAAGTTTTTAGATTCAGGTGGGTTTCTGTTAAACAACTCTTTGGCTGGAATTGTCTATATAGGAAGCAGTAGGTGTCTGTTCTTTATATATGTTAAACTAAGCATCTGTCTAGTAACTCAGGCTTCCAAGAGAGAAAGAATGGTCCAGTTAAGGTTGAGGCATTACTGTATGGCTAAGAAACTGAAATACAGGAGTTAGACTTCAATAATCCTTGTGGGTCTCTTCCAACTCAGGATATTCTATGTTTCTGTGAAATGCCTTGGTTTAAAATCATTACTGTAACCTCCTTCACAAATCCTGCCCATCCTGCCTTGCTCACCCTGCCAAGTCCCTGCCAGCCCAGTTTACTTCCCTTAGGGAATAGCCACACTCCTGCCACTTCCTGACTGCTACCTAGTAGGGGCTTCCATATGACTTAGGGTTTCAAAGAAGAAATTTCAATTCTCTCTGTAACCAACAGAAGGAGCAGACACGGCCTGTGAGGCAGCTCAGGGGGTGCCAACTCAGATGCCTAGTGTAAAGGCTGTTATCATTCTCCCTTGAGTACAACTTTATACCGTGTCGCATCCTAGTTTCCAGGACAAAAAGGTCAAACTCTGTATTTTGTAGAGCCAATTATATTTGTAGAATATTACATCTTTCTAAAAGATACTCCATTCTGGAAATGTTACTCACCACAATGAGAAATATGAGATCTGAAGTCAACAATGACCCCATGCTTTCCACAGACGTAAGCATAGTGTGCCAGAGCATTACACAAGCAGCTGCTTCCACATTTGCATGCGTCAAAGCGGCATAGCTGGTAGTATAACCCTGGACTGATGTAGGCATGGCAGGGAGCAAAAACTTCTTGATTGATGATATCACAGTGAGATGCATACCCAGCTAAGAGAAGGCGACACTGTTTTAGTCAGATCCATTTTAATAAAACAGTTAATCAAATGAATAGCATGGAACAGTAAAACCAAATGTAGGCAGCTATGCAATAAAAACCTGCAGACAATGTCTTTCTGTGAAGTCCCATAGTTTAAGTGGAAGTAACTCTCTCAACAATTAACTCCGCTTAATATAAAAAAAAATAGCCTAAACCAGTCATGCCAGTACAGGAAATTTAAATGCCAAAATAATATATTCCAAAATGTTTATTTAGAGGAGTCCTCCAAAGCTTGGAATATGATTTTTCCTACTTGACATTTCATTTAGCTGTGAAATCAGCAATGGCATATACTTGTTGGCATGTGGGCTCAGGTAGTAGTACAAACTGGAGCTCAAGGTCATGCAAATTAAATACCTAGTTGGCCATATACCTTCTAGCACCAACAAACCCTCCTCCGACCACTGAAGTGAACTACCACACAAGTGGTGGAATATCTCAGGAACACCACAGTGTGGATCATATTTAAGCCACTTTTGCTACTAAGAGAGTGCCCCCACCCTACAACCTTCCTGTTCATTTCCACATTATCACATTGACACAATAATTTCACATTTTACAGAGACGTTCAGTAAACTAGATTCAAGGACTGAATGTGACTTGGTTGAAAATTAACCTTACAAAATAAGTAAACAAGCAAACAATCATTTCCTTTTTAGTTTTATCAGATCAAGGTCATCGCAGACCTAGAAAAGACGTCCTTTTTAGTTTTATCAGATCAAGGTCGTCGCAGACCTGGAAAAGACAATTGTGCTGGCTCAACACAGGTAGTAGCATGGGGTGGATCACTTTACTCTCCACTGCTTTAGCTCAGTGGTTATTACAGCATCACAGGAAAATTCAGGCTGGAAAGTACCCTCAGAACGTCATGTAGTCCACCCTCTTCACTAAGCGCCTTACATTTATGTCAAACTCCACCTTCACTGAGGCAGCACAGAACTGAAGGTGAGGCATGAAGAGAGCTATCTTGACTGAGGCATACTGCTTTAGATGATAGCCAGTGCAGAAGGCATAAAAAGTCTTAGAATGCCCCAGATTGTTAGAGGTTTATGGTTATTCTAGGCTTGCTCCCACAGGCTCTAAATATGGATAAATTCCACATCTTTAGTGAGGTCTTATGTCTGAAACATAAAAACATTAGACTACAGAATTGGCAACTACAGCCTACCCATTGTCTTCATTAATTGAAAAGAACAGCAATGCCAAAAGGACACAGTGAAAGTTCAACACAAACCATAGGCATGTCAACCAGCCAAAACTAAATCTTTCTTCAATAATTTGCACAAATCCAAGGCTCACATATTGTTTGCATCAGTTTTAGTTAGAGAACACAAGTGGAAGATAAGGAAACTAGCATGAAGAAGCCCGATACAGGAATTTTTATCTGAACACTGTCTTGGCATGACACTGTCTTCTGTACTTTCTTTGTTGATCTACAAACATACCTCACATCTTTCCTCTCAACTGGCATAATTTACAGGACCACCGATGGTGTTCTGCCTAGCATTCTGCATGTATATTAGACAGCAGAATTTAGTACTCATAGCCAGTACACCAAGCATTAAATTATCAACTAGCTTGTATTTATCAAGTACTTACTTCATTTTATATACTAAATGTATGGAAAGATTGGTCTTTTCAAAGTAAAAAGGAAAGAAAGAGAGCACATCTAAACCTGAAACTGAAATACATGTATGTGCAACTTATTCACAGAGAAAACAAAAAACACCCCATAACAATGATACAGCTGATTCCAGAGTCCCATGTGAAAACATACCATTTTGCTGATTAATGTTGCAGGGATCAACCACAGGAATATTGACAGGCACGGAGCAAGCTGAGGAAACCTTCCATGCATTGGCATGAAGTTGTGGGGTCCCTTCTATCATCCCTGCTGGAGATCTGAAAAGGCAAAGATCAACACTGCAAGTGTCCTGCTGACCTTAGGGACTACATGGGCAAGGATGCAAATACATTAAAAAGGCTTAGATGCACAGCTGCATTGAACAATTCATGTGCCAAAAGAATTTTCATCTCTAAGGTGTAAAAAGGAAGAGCATGTAAAGCTTTTTCCTCAATATTTCAGTATGAGAAAATATTCTTACACTAAAGGTCTGCCTTCACTTAGGCTTAACTCAAGTACCCTGAAATCAGTTGGAGGAGGCATTAATGAGAGGAGATGTAGCCTTTATTCAAGTAGATAAATTGAGTGAAATGTCAACATTTGACCTGTTAGGCAATTTTGGTGTTCTAGAGGGTAGGCTGTTTGCACCAAGTATTTCAGAAGTATTTATTATTGCTAGACAAGTTTTGTAATATTATAGCTTGAGGAACTTTGGAGGAAATGAGGTAAAGAATAAGGACAGTGTACCCTTGTAATTAGAATATTCCTGTGGTTCATAATTACAATCTTTTATGTTAAAACTTGCTGTGGGGGGAAAAAAAATCAAGCAGTACTGTGTTACCCTCATGTGAAGATGATACAGGTATTATCACTCACTCTTTTTTGTCTGTGCTTATGCATTTCCTCTGAAGATAAGGGAGCAACAGGGAGGGAACAAGTGCATTAAAGCAGTATCATCATGCCATAAATTCTATAAAGAATATGGTAGCTTTCTATAGTTATTTAGCAAAGCATCTTAGAATGCCTACATTTATGACTTTCATATTTCAAAAAATGACTATAATTTTAACTAAGAGATTTTATGTTGGTTTGTTTAAAAAGCTTTGAGCATGTTAATGAAAAAACTTTTCACTTGTTATTAAACATAATCTAAATGCACAATATGCAACTTACAGAAAATCATCTCTTAAATTCCCGTTGTACGTTCCACATAGTCCTAATGTTCTTCCCTTCCATCTGACATCAGCTTGAACATAGATCCTCTCTCCATCTGTAGCAAACAGTATCTTCAAACCAAAACTAGTTTTCAGTTGAACAAAGAAAGAAGATATATTCTGAATTTCAATAGCCCCTGAACATAGCAAAAGAAAAAGAAAAACAAAGTCACTGAAATCCAACTTCCAGGTCACTCTGGTTTACCCATATAACAAAAAAATATTTTGAAAACTCAGAAATAAAATGAGAAACTATGCACAATCCCACTGTCAGCCATATATCCCCACCCGTTCTCCACCTGAGCTTATTTCCATTAACAACACAAATCAGGAATTGCAGCTGCTGTCAACAATTGAAAATCTCTCACATTTCTGCACCTGTGAGTTATCTAGAAACCATAGAAACCACGCTTGCATCATTTCTTTTTGTTTTGTTTTTGGGCTTTTTGTTAGAAGAAAGCTATGCAACTGCAAGCCTATGGCATTGAGAAGACAAGACAAGAAACCAACTGTTTCTTAGTCTCCAGGGATATTATAACATTAATTAACAGGTGTCTGTAAAGTGTCTCAGAATCTTTAGATATAAGGTTCTCTCTTGCCACTTTTGATATGACATTAGTATAGCTCTTTCCTTGGACTGTATGTGAACTGAGCCCCTATCAAATTCCCAGCTTTCCTTCCCAGCAAATCCATTATGTGAGGAAATGGAAATTTCACAGTCACAGCATTCATTTGCCACACATTGTTGGATTACTTGCAGCTGTAGCCTTAAAGCAGATCTACCTTCACAAGGAGCCTCTACGTATGCAAACACACACACATACACACTTAGGTGCATACACTGAGAAGAGGAAGATAAAATGCTTAAGGATGTTCTTAGCTGATAAGACTTACTAGATACACACAATTATTAAGAATGTGACAGCAAAATATTTGTGATATATTATATTTGTTGCAGAGTATGCGAAGAGACAAGAAAGTGAATAGGGACTGATTCACAACAAAGTTAATAGGGACTAATTCAAAAGACATAAAATGAAATTATCAATGAAATTATGAAGCAGAACTGGCAACACAACTGTAGTGGTTTAACTGAGCCATGACACTATTTGCCATAGGAAGCTGTGAATGCCAAAAGCAGAACTGTGACTGGAAAAATTCAATAAAGAAAAGACATGATTGCAACCACCATCACAGAACTGAAGGCTGGGAAAGGACTTTACTCTTTCAGCAAGAGACTAAAAGTCCAGTAACCGATCACTGTAAGATATAAAATTTAGCCATATCATTTCCACCTTCAGTGCTTCATTTTCTAACATACTTTTAAGGCTAATTTATTTTGCTATCCTTTCCAAAAAGGTGAAATAACCTGTCTGAAATCACAACATATGTCAGCACTGAAATAAATGTAGATCCCACAGAGCACATGGATTCTGTTCCATGCTATTTATTCTAAAAGGTTTCAAACAAACTAGACCTTAACATCAGCACCAAGGTAATTTCCAACCTCTCTTAACCTCCTTTCTTTTTCTTTCCTCCTTCCCCCTAAACACAAACAAAATACGTGGAATTTCTAGGTACTCTGCAAGATAAGAAATGCAAATAAATGAGGGCATAATGAAAAGCTGTTTCAGAGACTGAAAATGTACATATCTATAATTATTACTAAAGCTCTAAGAAGTGATTGTGCACTTCACAAATTATGTTTGAAGAAATTCTTTTTTCATAGGCAGATACTATTAAAAAGTTTTGGAGCATAGAAAAGACACAATGAGAACTATGGTGAAATTCTCCTCCGTGCACTTCTTACCATTAAGGTTAAAAACTTGGTTATGGACAGTTTGGACTTGACCATATCTTGTGAGAGTTACTTGTTTCCTCACATCATCTTCAAGAACTAGTGTTATAGACTCAATGCAGGCATGGTCAAAATTCTAAGGAGAAACAAGTTTCACCATCAGAAACAGGCAATGACATTAATATTACCATGGAAAACAAAACCAAACAGAGGAAAAAAGCAGACGTATAGAAAGGAAATATCGGAGCTGTCATCAGGTAAATCAGTTACAAACTATCACTCAAAGTATTAAACAGAGCACCCAAAGTTGTATGCAGAACATGTTAAAACATTGCTTATGCATAATCTCCACATGCAAAGAGAATTCATTTTAGCTACTACGGCAGTCTAGTAGTAAGTTGACAGAGGCCCCCAAGTACTCATACTAGGTTCAAAATGGCCACCCTGGGTACTGCTCACTGATGGGCTAACCAGTGTTTGAGCAAGAGTTCAACCCCATCCATATCAAGCTGGTGCAACCAGACCACAAATGCAGCAGTGCAGGAAAAAGAAACTATAGCACACAAGAAGGTGCTTCTCATCTTGAAATGTAGTGGGGATCTCTGATTGCAGACCAAAAGGATATAATTTATCCTGAATTATATTATGATTTATAAATATCTGGCTATCAAAAAATGGTGACATAAAATATCTCACACATGTCATTTTAAAGTGCAATTGAGGCAGAGTTTATGAACCTAAAAACAGGACAAAAAATAACACATAATCAGCCTAAACCAAGGATCTTATGCTCTCCAGAGGCCTCTCTGTTTTCACCCAGAATCTTTTCAAGGTGTCTACAGTTGTGCTAAGGGCTATTCCTAGTGGCATCCTTCTCTCTCAGTAGCTACCTAACCAACCATTCATGCTTCAGGCCACCTGAAATGCAGAAACAGTAGTGTCAACACCTATGCAGGAGAAGGAGGTGCTTACAAAAAAAGGCTATGGCACAAGCTCATAGTCTAGCTGTTGAAGGGTCATGAGAGACAGTCCCAGAGTAGGGCAGCTCCCATGCATTACTCCCTGCGGATGAGTTCAGACATCCCTGTCCTCAGCACATGGGCAGCTGTGAGTCACAGTCTCAGAGCCCCTTCTGCTGAGAGCCTGGGTGACTAACAGCATCATCAAATACACTCTTGAAGACAAGTGCTTTTTATAAGCACCTTTATTCCTGAAGCCTGTTGTTGGATGCCTGCCAAAACCCTTTAAAAAAATACGTGTGGTGGCTAGTCTCATAAATACCTTTCTAAAAGGCATTGTTCCAACAAATTGAATGCTGCAACATATCAAAGAAAAATCTAAAGCTATCAAAGAAATAAAACTCTGCCTAACTAGTAGTGCATTAAGCCTGCTCAGTGCTGCCAGCAGCTTTTCCAAAGCCTGACATCTGTTTGTACCATAATTAAAGATGTTTATACTTCTTTAACATACATAAATGAATAACTCTTTAGATTTAATCCCTCTAAGATGCAATTGATTTTACAAAGGGCAATACAACATGTAGTAATACAGCCGCTTACCAAAAAAGCTGTAAGATGGTTTCAATTTATATTTTCTATGAAACATAGCCCAGTAGTTTACAGTAGAATTTACACAAGATTGCCTGAAGTATGGATGAATCCATTTGTTTCAACATTTCAAGAAAAATGTGGCTTACCTGTCCACAAGGTGCTTTCTGCAAAGTGATTGTGAATTTGTTTTTCCCAGTGCCTTTTACCAAAATGTACTGGCAAATCCCAAGAAAGGTAAAATGACGTCCATCAAATGTTGTGAAATGAGAGCTACCTGTGATGGAGCACTCAGCTTGAGAGAAAAACAAGAATGTTCACTTGCATGAGAATGTATAATTATTCTGTAAATTCTGTAAGAGATAAAAACTAAACATTTTTCTTATTTCTAAGCACATAATCCAAGCTAACTCTAATCTATCTAGCTATAATGGCATTAGAAATCAAATATGCTAGACACCCCTATTTCCATCAGATAACATCTCATACTCCACACACCGAAGTGCAGCATCTTTTGGTTCTAACTAGGCGAGATGCCTTTGAGTTAGAAGTACTCTAAAACACAGAAGATTATTCATTACAATTCAGAAGTTTACTAGAATCTTCCTTTCATCATCTTTTTCCACAGCTAAGTATGAAAGAGGACAAGCTTCTTTCTCCATTTTTCTAGGTACTATGGCACTGCTGATAGGAAAAGGCTGCAGGGGTCTGTCATAGAATCATAGAATTTTGGGGGTTGGAATGGGCCTTACAGACCATCTAGTCCCAGCCCTCTGCCATCAGCAGGGACACCTCCCACTAGACCAGGTTGCTCAAGGCCTCATCCAACCTGACTTTGAACACTGCCAGGGTTGGGGCAGCCACTGCTTCCCTGGGCAACCTGTGCCAGTGTCTCACCACCCTCACAGGAAATATCTAGCCTAAATTTTCCCTCTTTCAATTTGAACCCATTACCCCTTGTCCTATCATTTCAGTTCCTAACAAAGAGTCCCTCTCCAGCTTCCCTGTGGCCTCTTCAGATACTGAAAGGCTACCATGAGGTCTCCACCCAACCTTCTCTTCTCCAGGCTGAACAGCCCCAACTTCCTCAGCCTGTCTTCATAGGGGAGATGCTCCAGCCCTCTTCTCAGCTTTGTGGCCTCCTCTGGACTTGTTTCAACAGTTCCATGTGCTTCTTATGTTGAGGGCACCAGAACTGCAGGCAGTAGTCCAGATGAGATCTCATGAGAGTAGAGGGAGAGAATCACCTCCCTTCACCTGCTAGCCGTACTCCTTTGGATGCAGCCCAGGATTCCATTGGCTTTCTGGGCTGTGAGCTCACACTGCAGCTCATGTTGAGTTTCTCATCCACCATCACACTCAAGTCTTTCTCCTCACTGCTGGTCACAATTACTTCCACACCCAACCTGTAGATTTCCCTGGGATTGCCATGACAGGGCACTTTTTTCTTCCCCCAGTTAAGATCTGAAGCGCACTTTTGAAGCAAGTCTCCAGCTCAACCCCACTTACTGCACTTCCATTCACATCATGGGGCAGCATCAGAGCACATGAACTAGATTAATTTTGGCTGCAGCTACTGCAGGAGGTGCTTTGTGGGAGCACATTTAACCTGGTCCTTCTACTAACAGCAATTTAGGCCCTAGGACTAGACTAGATTAGTCATAATTAAGACCCACATGTACACATAACACACACAAGAGTAGTTCTCAATGTCAACTGTTTCACACATCCGATTCACAATGTCAAGCCTTACTTAGCAACTGTTAAGCTTTATTACCTCTTTCAGAGAGGGCTCCTTAATTTGTAAAAAAAATTCTCTCTTTCACAAGTTTCATAGTACAATCTTGTCTAAGACACAGAACTGTCAAGGGAGTTTCACTACCCGACTACTCTATGTTCCTCTGTGTAACTCATTAGAGAGACATGTTGTATTTAAAGATAAGGATCATTATCCAAACAGGAACTGGTGTTACAAGAGAGAAAATGTGTGTCACAAGAGAGATAATGCAGCACACTGAGCATCAGAATGACGGGGGTTTATTACTTGCATTACAACTGCACCTAGAAGTGAGGAGATCCTTGTACCTGGTCTAGGTACTGCACAGGCAGTAGAGATCTGGCACCTGTGGCAAAGATCATTGAGCATAAACAGGAGAAAGAAAACAAGAGGTGTATGTAGCTCACTGAGGTAGGGAAGTAAGTGGGAAAAGGTAGGATGGGTATTGTTAGGCAGTTAACAGCTTCACTCCAGTTGGTCCACTGCTAATTTCAATACCCATCTGCTTAATCTTAAATCAAACCCTTGAATCATGTTTGGTTCTGCTGTCTTCTGAAGAGTTTATCCTTTATGTTATGAGGAGAGAAAACAATGAAATACAAATACCTGGGCAATCATGATCAGTGCAATTCCAAATGCCACCAACACAAATACTGAAATGAAAAATCACAAAACAGAAATTCAGTGTTCTGATCTTCAGCAAAATAAGTAGGTTTGTGTTAATTAATATGCCTTGAATTCATGCTTTCCATATAATAGCCTGCACATTTTAGTGATACACAAGGCTCAGACTGCAAAACATAGATAATAACTATTCTTTAAAATGTGAGTGTGACTATGATGTTAAACGAACTATGAACAACAGTCACAGAGATGAAACACAAAGGCTTTCACATACCAGTTGCTACATTCTTGTTCAATTTTTGAGCCTACTGGGAAAGCTGTTCCATGATAAATACAAGGACAATTTGACAAAGAGATACAAGTTCCATTTTCCATAATGAGACCTATTGGGAGAGAAGTTAATAAATGAGATAGAAAACAAATTAACAAACTCCGGATCACTGCTCTTCCTCCATCTGTCTCAAACATTCAAATCTGCCAGAAGGTGATCTCAGCAGTCTTAAACAAGGACCAGCAAAAACAGTTCCCAGTGAGTGCAGAGAGCTCAGAGTGATGAACAATGAAGCTCTAAAAGCAGTTGTCACTATGAATCATTGCTTTATGGAGAATGTCTGCCTTAAGCATGTAAAACTGTACAGACCCAAAAATAAAAAGATTCTGAAATCTCATTATTTTTAGTGCTTCTAGAATAGGACTGTTCCTAGTCCAGTCCATAATTTTTAGTGAGTACAGGTCTTAAAGTTTGGTTGTTTGTACAGAGCATGACACATTCTGTTTAAGCAAAATTTCTATAGACACTGGAATAAATCAAATAAAGTAGACTAAATCTATGCAATGTCTTATTGTAGGAAGCATTAGTAATGGCTCCAGATTTTATCTGATTTTGCATGCTGAGACAGCTCTGTCTTCTAGAGAAATGTTTAGTGCACAATAAAAGGAAGAATCACAGTGACAATAACAAGAACCAGGGCAGAACTTACAATATTCTTATTTTCAGGCTTTAACTTAAAGCACAGTCTATTTAGAGTTTATGAGGATGTTGGATAGTAGCTTTATGCATATTTTTTCATATAACATTGAGGGTATTTACCATCTGGACAGTAACAGCCATCTAAACAGTGCAGGTTGCTGCCAAGACAATCTTTTTCAAATGTGCAGGTTGGTGGGCAACAACTAATACAGTCACGGTGAACAAAGCTGTCTTCACACTTCTCAGCTAGGGAAAAACAACATGGTATATTGAACATAAGTGCAATTTCTCTTTCCATGCTGGAAACCCCCTCTCTGTCAAATAAACAGTTGCACAGCGCTTCAGGTAGTTAATCAGATCAAGCACAGTGGATTGTTTGGAGGGGTTTTAACGAATGAACTGTGGAGAACTTCTCACCAGTATTTAAGCCTTTCTTCAGCAAATTCCTGCATTGCCCCTCCAAAAGAAGTTATAGTTTCTGTGACAGGGGAACATGTACTCGTATCTCAGCTAGTTCAAAGCCTTGTGCATGAGACTGAGCTGCAGTTTATGGGTGGTGGTGATAACCAGAAGGAACTGGATCAACCACATTAATTCTGTTACAGGGCCAATAGAGGCTGAAAGGTCATCTGAAATGAGGGGCAACAACAGAGCTCCACAGATGTTTGTTCTCTGTCGTAGAATATAGTCAGTACACATGATGTTTCAAGCTATCTGCAGAAACAAGAATTTTGTATAGATCTAGACCGTATCACAATGGAATTAAAGTATTCAGCTAGCAAGTCATTGACTTCATAGTTAGCCAGCAATAGTGAAACTAGTTGATCAACTTCAGTACCAGGTTTGAGTTCTACAGTGAAAAATGCTGTCAAGATGGAGTTATTTGAAATTAATACATAGGATATCTCAAAGGTCACATAGTATGCTTAAATAAAGAGTCTTACTACAGGCAGGAAAGTCATCCCTCCAGTCCCGCACCGGAGAGCCAGCGTGAGAGCATGCTCTAGCGTACTCTGTCACTGCCCTGCAGTATGTTTCATCATCATCCACTCTGAAATGATAAAATAAGAGAGTAACTAAGGAACTCAAATCCCATCTACAAATCTCTGCTCTGTGACACTGCACAGGATATTTCACACATAACTGACACCAGTTGGTCATAATGGCACACAGTGAAAAGATGAAGAAGAGCAAACTGTACTGAATATACTGTTGTGCTTTTATAATTTGATCACACAAAAAGTTATTTCATTTTAATATTACCCCAATGAACAAAACTATTAATCTATTATTTAAATATGTGTATGTAAATGCTGCCTATGGTGAAAGAGAAACAGGATTTTTCTTTATGACAGTGGACAACTCGACAGTCTCAAGATCCCCATCCCAGGCCCTCTCTATCCTGCATGATGTTAAAACTCTGACCTACACTGACAAAAGACATTCTGGTCCAAGTAAGAACACCAAGTTTCCAATTGCTTGTAAGACCTTGAATTTAGGTGAGAAGAACTCTTTTGGTGAACTCCTGACCTTGGCCTGAAGTGCACAGAGCCAGAAGCATTATCCGCCGAATACTGTGGACAGGCTCAGGGGTTTACAGCACTTGGTGTTGGGCAAAGACATTATCTTATGCCTTAGTCTTTACAGAAAAACCTGTACAGTGCTCCTTTACCAGGATCAAGTTGAGAGACATTCATTAATGTTTAAGTAAGCTCCAATTTTATTCAGATGTAAGTCACATACAGTGAGATACCACCAACTTTTCATTACTGTGAAAGTCCAACAACTCACATCACTCACTGTGGAGGATTTGATGCCAAAATAAACTAGTCATAACATGGCATTTCTATTATGAGCATGACTGTGACAGATCAACTGAGTTTGCCTTTCAGCACACAAGATCATGCTTCCAAAATTAATGATCTTAAGAATATAATATATTGTGTTTGTGTTCTGCTTTCAACACATCTGTTATCAAATCAAAGACCACTACTCTCTTTGTTACAGTGATCAGAGTCTCTCCAGCTCTCCTTATCTAATCCAATTAAATGGGTCTTAATAGAAAGAATACTTGGCATATACTATGGCTCCACAAAAAAAAAATCTTCATAAACTGACACTAAGCCATAAGAAGAGAGGTCTCTTTTATAAACAAAATAAGCCTAAATTGATGAGGTTCTGAGACACAGAAACTTCAATGTTTTAAACATTCACACAATTCAAATCCACACCCATCAGCAAGCTGGCAAAAAAACCAACCCCCCTTAACACCACAGCACTGATTCAATATCCTGTTTGAAAATTCGCTTTTCATTATTCTTCAAAAGTCACAGTAAACTCCTGAGTTACAAAGAGACCATGCAGAGACAACTCACCTCTTCTCTGAGCAAAAACAATGTACATATCATAAACATTAGGAAATACACTTTGGGTATTTGCCTACGAACACAAATTCTTCCATCTTGACTCTATGGTAAATGAGAAAAACTAAAGATTCCATTAAAAAAATGAACTTATTTTTACTCTTGTGATCCCTCTCCATACGTTTTTGGCTAAATTAGTGATACTCTGAGAAGGTCATAATAGTATCTGGTAAAAATCCTGTTATTTATGGCAATTACTTCTAGTTTTAAAACCTTACTAAAAAAGAAGTGGTGCACGGCTCAGTTTTCTCTTCAATTACTGGAGCACAAGTTTAATCTGAATGACAAGATCTAATCAGGAGTCTGGAGAGCAAAGGGAAAAATACCAGATTGCATACAATGCCAGCAGCTGAGGGGGTGTAACTCCCACCAAAGCAAATGGGAGTTGAATTTCTTTTGACAAATCTGAATTTACATGTACAAAACCATTTTGTAAATATTCTACTAATTTGAACCACAGTGGTTATTCATAAAAAACCAGTCCAACTGAGTCAGAAAAATGGTCCAGCTCCTCCAGTATCAGTGATATTTTTCCCTAGCATCATCTCCATGTATTTTTGCTTCAGGACCTGCAGATACAGGTTTCAGGGGGTTTTGTAATTAGCAGTGCCTCCTTTGTCATTAGTGATTCTCCATGGATTTATCTTCCATTTACTTCTCTATTATTTCCTTGAATCCATGTAAACCTTTAGCAACCAAAATATGCCTTGGCAGGCTGGTTCTGTGCCCTTTGTTTCCACACTAAATCACCCCCATGAGAAACCTCATCTCTTTTATTCTGAACTTGGTTTTTCCTAATTTCCCTCAATGTTGTTCCATGCTGGCCTCACACAAAAGAGTGAGCATTTATTTCACACATCAGATAAAATAAACAAGAACTCCAGTCTTACCTGCAAAGGTCATTCATACAGCTCGAAATATAAGAATACGGATCTATACTTTCATGACAGCTGAGAAAAGGAAACTGTAGGAATATTTGGCACTTGAAGAATATGTCCTGTGCAGGAGAATCAGTAAACAACAGTTAGCCAATACTTTCTGAACAGGCATAATTTTCTTTATCTTTGTTTGCCTAATCTCAGGTCCTTTATATCCTCATTACAGTTTCAGAATCTCACAGTCTCAATTTATTATTATACCATTTTTATTATTCTTCCTAACATTTGTCCTCTCTGCCTCGGGTGGCTTGATTGCATGCTGCAGCTAAACCAGCTAGGATGAAAAGAGTGTGAAATGAAAAAAAAGGACTTTGTGTCAATACAGGAACTGACCGTGCTATTTTTGCAGTATTTCACAATTGCCAAAATAATGAGATGTAAGATGCCAGGACTGGAATCTAAAACCAAGTTTAATGCAGTAATGATGAACTCTGCCAACAGACCTATGCCACTTGGCACATCCCATCTTAGCCTTTGTACTTGCAAGCTAAACATATGAAGAACTTCAGGCATTCCCTAGCAACAGCCCTGATCTGAATCTTTCCTTTCTCAAAGCCTCAGTGCTTTAAGGCTTTCTTCAACATGGTGTATATTACTAGATTCTTGTACCTTCAGTAAGCAGTGAAGACTATATATATAGATGTGTGTGTGTGTGTGTATATATGTGTGTGTGTGTGTGTGTATGTGTGTGTGTGTTTATGCATACAATATGATAAATTTACCTCAGTGGATTCTGCATTGGCTGAGCAAGGACTGGAAAAATCTGAGGCAGTAGGTACACAAGTTACATCATCTGAGGTTTGCACAGCCCAGCTATTTGCAAATTCAGCAACATCTTCTGTATATTCACCTACTGCATTAAAACATTGGAAGGGCACAACGAAAAAAGTGGTCAACACAAACACAAAAGACAGCTTGGAAATTTCTAATTGTTTGTCAATGTGTTCATTGCCTCAGTTACAGACATTTTCAGAGTATGGGTGGCATAAGAAAATGTTCTTTATCTTTTTTCATCTCACGTAGCATTTTATACGACATTTAAATGAAAGAAAATATTTTAAAATATATGACAAGGTGTTGGTTGGTGTTTTTTTCATGTAATCACTGATAATTTTATAACAAATATACAAATAATGACAAGTGTAATGCATTGAATACTTCAGAAAAAATACATTTCTTTGACACAATTTAAGGCTTTCAGCATGTTTCACAAAGGTCAGTCAGTGCCATTATCTCTCTCCTTTTCCCCTGTTGCAGAAAAGCCCAACAACAAACACACCATGACATGCCCAGCTCCCCTCACAGCATGAGCATGGGAAAATTAATGAACAAGATGCATGACTGGAAGTCATGGCAACAGGCTAAAATACAAGAGGCTTGGCAGTAAAGACTCAAACCCAAAATTCCTGTATATTTGCAGCAAGAACTAAATTTTACATTTTCTCTACATTCTTAAGTCTCTTATAAAGGGTATATTGCCTCCACCTTGAAGAACCTTACAGTAATTGGCATCTATGCTATGGTTATCTATAGCTATGCATTGTTAGGAGATAAGATACTGAAACGAAATCAGCTAGAGAGGTTTTTTCCACAGAGCTGTACCATACAAGACTTAATCTAACTTCTTCTAGCACAAGAGGTACAAAGTTAGACACTCTGCTATGTGGAAAGCCACAAAGCATACTAATCAGATATGTGTACGTAGATCTCCACAATTAAACAAAGATAAGATCCTAAACACCAGTTTGTTTTACTTAAGAGCCAGGGAGATTTAAAACATTTCTCCCTCTCTGGCAGAGTAGTTCTTTATGCAAAAAGCCTTTCCCAAACATAAAAAGCTAGGGTTTGATCTAGAGGTAAACCCATTAACAGAAATCTGCTTTTTCAAAAACAGTTAAAATATTTTATTTACATTTTGACATGGCTTGAAAAAAATTTCTAAATCTTCAAAACATATCACAAAATAAAATCACTGTCGTTGAAGATAAAGATAAGGAAACAGAAAAGGAGTTTGTTTTAAAACTGTGCTTTGAAATAGGGTATTATATGCCTCTCAGCAACTTATTTATTTGGGCATTGCAAATAGAGAGCACTTGGACTCTGGAAGACTCGGGATAGATGTAGCAACTTTCTTTACCCTACTGGGGGAAGTATTTTAGCTGAGAGAGATAAATCATCATAACAAATGCTTAGTAAGATTTGGAAGCAGAAAAATGTGGCAGCTTAGAAGGGATTTGAATTAGCAATCTATTCTTGTGGAGATCTCAGAGTTTTGTGCTCTGTATTTGCAGAGTCAAGGCACCATTTTATATAACTGGCTCAAGGTTAAGGTGATTCATATGGTTCCCAATTGTACATTTCAATAATGCTATCATGTCTGAGAAAGAAAAATGCCAGAAGAAATTAGGATGATGAAGAAATGTAGCTTTGGAAATGAAGAAAGGTAAGAGCCAGAAGTCTTCTATAACAGGTAATATATTTAAAGAAATTACTATTTTTTTAGAGATCCTGTTAGTTCATTATTTCCTCCAAACACCATTTTCCTCTATTATTACACATCACCAGTTTTAACAAGTTGTTAAACATACCATACTCTGGTGTGCAGAAGGTCATGCATGAAACTTACTGCTCTCATGGCAGAAGAGGTACAGGAATTTTATACTGGGAAGGTTTTTAAAGACTCTGCAAAGATATGTAACACTGAGTCTTCCTTCACTAAGAAGGTTAAAAAGCTCCACTATCAACCATAAAAAAATGGGGAAAAAATCTACAGTGAGATAACTTTTTTGACTGAAGAACATGCAGAGCCATGGGACTAGATTCTATCAGCAGTTAATGGTAACAGTAATATAGTCCTATCTTGTTTTTCAGAGCCTGAGAAAAAGTATTCCAAGTATTCCTTATATTTTCGCTCCACTATCAACCATAAAAAAATGGGGAAAAAATCTACAGTGAGATAACTTTTTTGACTGAAGAACATGCAGAGCCATGGGACTAGATTCTATCAGCAGTTAATGGTAACAGTAATATAGTCCTATCTTGTTTTTCAGAGCCTGAGAAAAAGTATTCCTTATATTTTCTAGTTTGTTCTTTTTCTTTTTTTTTTTTTTTTTTCTTCACATTAGTCACAAATAGGACAAAACTCCCTATGGAGCATTCTCTACATCAACTACAGAATACTCTACAAGTTGAACAACTCATCTCTGCCTCACACCCAGCATTGGGCAGCTCCTCATCCTACAGGGTAGTAGAAGACCCATAGAACACCATACCAACAAAGAGATACAAGGAAATCCCTGGCAAAAGCTTGGAAATTTACATATTTCATCTAGCATTTTTATGATGCTTTTATAAAAGAATGACTTGAGATGGTGCTTTTACCAAATATTATTATTTTGGCTCTTCTTTCCTTTTCCCTTTCATTTTTAAACATAGAAAACCACAAACATTTGTTTATTTATTTATTATTTGAAGGCACTGTCATCAGCTAAGATAAACATACCTCAAGTGCTTTGCTGAGCAAGAAAGGCTTAAACACACATATAAATACTTTCTGAAACTAGCACATTTTCCCTTTACATCTTTCATGATGTGGAAAAGGAAAAGTAGAGTAGATACACTGTTTTACTGAAATAACTGAAACTGGACTCTGCCTTTTACAGCATTATATTTAAAGTGAAGATGAAAGCTGTTCACACAAGGCAAGGGTAAGCTATTTACTTACTATTTTGCAGTATCAGGTCATCATATTTATTGCCATTAAAGTTTCCACAAAGGCCACAAGGTTTTCCCTTATGATCTTCTGTTAGCTTAATATAAATACCAGAGTTTCCATCCCAAGCAAGAGAAAAACCAAAAGTAGTCTTCACCAGAATATAGTCAGCCAGTCTCTCAAGGAAAGCATTTCCAACTGTCTGAGGCAATGATAATCTGGAAAAATATAGTCTGCTTCAAAGATCTCAGATGAGATGAGATTAGTTCTAAGAAATGCCACATAAAACATCACCTTCTAATAGACTAAGCCCCTTTTCCCTGGTGTATACAGTCTCTCTATCCAATTCATCATGTTTTTCTATCTTTTGTGCTGTTTACTTCTCTATATCAGACCATCAGAAACAAATGCTTTCCTGTTGTATATACCAATCAGTTGTACCAATTATAAACCTGAAAGAATAATGACTCTTCACTTTCAAAGCCCCATACAGGCATGTTGAGGAATACTTGACTTCAGGAGCATGCTGTGACAGACAAGGGGCTATGTGATGCTATGCCCACTAGCAGCTCTCCTGGACAGTGGGTTAGACATCTGCAAATGGAGCAACTTACACTACAGAAAATGCCATCGACAAAAAAAGCTGTATCTCTCCCTCCTTTGGTCAAAGATCACTGAACAATAAAGTCGCTGCACAGATCTAACACTAGTCTTCCAAAGCTGTTCTGTTGGGTTGAACAGTATCACTGTAGCTATCAGTCCCAGATACTAATGGCCATAGCATTACATCAAAGAAGATGGCAAAAACACCTTAGCAACCCTTTGAATTTTTCTGTACTTTATCAACTTTATCAAATATACTTATGATGGCCTTGAACTCATCTTTTTACATATAAAAAAAAAGGTAAATTTGGGGGTTTGATATACCTCAGAGATGTTTTGTTTTAACCAATTCAAACTTGTCTAGAAGAAGATTATGTCTTACATTAGCTATAGCTACCAAGAATAAATAATGACTGCCTTGTACAAAATGGTATCAGGACGCACCAAGGATTAGCTAGAACTGCCTGATACAGATGTTGTCTGTACAGATTAGGCATGAATAATTGTTAGGTTACAGCTGAGAAGTTGAACACAAGTTTAATGCAGGGAGTGTATTTTATTCTCACACAGGCATCACATCAGCACCATTACAATTGCTCACACTAGAGCTCTGTCAATCCCAATAGAGAACAGCAAGGGATCAGTAAAGATATGTATCAAATTATTTTCTCTGGATTCTGTGAAAAGCATCAGTTTCTCAAACTCCACATTTTCTTTTTGCAATTAAATGGCAAAACCTACCATTAGAACACTTACCTGATTCCATTTTTTCTTACTTCATGTCCTGAAATAATTATTTCTTCTTGGTTTGAAAAAAATAAGCTGATGGACCTCTGACAAGTATATACTGAACTGTAACAGCTAGGACTGTTATGAACCTTAGAGGGGAAAAATACACACACAATAAGAAATGTTTGTTCTCAACAAGTTCATGCAATAAACTCATACATGACATTTTACATTTCTTGCTCCAGTTACAGAAAGAGCTTTAGAAATAACTACTTAAAATATTCAAAAGCCACAACTACAGAGATATGCAAAACTAGAAGTTCACTCTACCCAATACTACTGAGAAATACAGCCACTGTATAACAGCATACAGCATCACATGACAGTGGTTTAAACACTGGATGAAAGAGCCAGTTATATTATGTTGATGAACTTCAGAGTCACTGCAGTAAGCTAGCTTATAGCTGCCAAAGTAGCAGCTTGTTATTTGCACTGAGGAAACATCCCTCTTGCTCTGTTTCTGGAGGTCTGATCTGTAAGACAGGACTCAGAACCTCAGCATAACAACAGCACTCTCATCACCAGCTGAGACTGGTACCAGCTGAAGTACAGCATGCCTTTCTGAACCACTCAGGATTTGTTGAGATTTTGGAGTGCTCCCACAGATTATTGTAGGCATGTAATTTACATGGATCTGCTAAAATCCATTTTGCACTGGCTTTCCAGCCCTGCTAAAGGAGAGGGCTGAACTTTTCTGAAGTATGCTTCTCCCCATTATACATGCACAGCATAGTGAGCCAGGGGATTGGTTTGAATTGTATATCAGCTTCTACAGTGCTCTCAAGACTTGAAAACTGGGGGGTTTTGCTTGAGCAAAACTTCAACAGCTTTCATTTGTCTCAGTGGGACTGAGCCACCCAAAGCTGTGGGATCTTATAATTCTTCACAAGCCTGTGAGCTGATTTTAGACACCACTGAAGAGACGGGAATGTGTTTTGAATCTGAGATGCCTATCATTACCTAAATTAAAATGTAGACAGAGTTTAGATAACTCAAACACGACTTATGTTACTGTGTGTGTCACCATGCTCTGAGAAGGATGGGAGTTGTGTTACCAGTTACCTTGACAGTGCCATGAAGCTAAATAAATTCATAATTGGGAACATTTTACCAATGTAGTAACGTAGGCTGTAAAAGTAACTCTTTTGTAGAAAATATATGTCAGTAAACACATACAGTGCTAATGCATATTCAAATTAATGTTCCTTAACTGACAATTAATCCTGGAAGCAAAAGCCAGTTACTATTTCTTTAAGCGAAATAAACCAAACTAGGAAAAGCATTAAGAGTTTTTACATGTATAAAGATAATCGCAATTAAAGACATAATAAATGTTACTAGTACCGACAGCTGGCTTCTATGTAAATCCCATTCAAGACAGAAACACAACCAAGGAAAATCAAAATAATTCTTGTGTTTTCTTCGCCTCTCGAGAGGTGGATTATTAAAGCCAGAAGGACCATAATGTGAGGATTTGGCAAGGTTTTAGGCTCCCCATTTCCCAGTCTGTAGAGACTGCATTCTCACATTACTTATGACTTTGCTGAGTAAACATTTTCAGATTTTAGTAAAACATGACATTTGTTCCAGCAATTGAATGAACACTTCTCTCTTTCCAGAGCAACTAGAATCCACTGAAATACTGATTCTAGATTTTAACATAACCTTGGATTTTGCTACATCACTTTCTAAAAACTCCTAAAAGCTCACAACTGCTAAGAGAATCCAGAGAATCAAAATGAAATTGTGCAGGTGTAACAGCATCTGTCTATAACTTGACCAAAAAGAAATGGCAGCTTTAATGGTAGATTTATCTTCACTCGGTGTTGTATCTGAGCAAAGGGGAGGTCATCTCTTTATAAATGAAAAATAGTCCTCAGAGCAGAAATTGGCATCAAGATCTGCCTTTATCCCTGCAAGCACTGCACCCACCAGCACTCAGAATTAGGACCTCTCTATTCCCCTCTTCCCTGCCTGATCAGCACCAAATCCCAGCCACTGTGTAGAAAGTAATATAACGAGCTTGTATTATCTCCCCATGGTAACCAACAGCTTGACAAGCAGGCTATCTTTCTTCAAAGAGGGTATAGGCTTGAACTCTCTTTAACCCAAAGTCATTAACCATGGATACTCAGCAATTTGAAGGAATTACTAAAAAGAGTGCCTTCCATACATAGGTCAAGATGAAGGCTTTTGAGCTGTTAATCTTCTCTGCATGACGTAGAGGTAATCCAAAATTAGAATGCAAATCCACAGAGGGGACAGGGTGGGGAAGCAAATCCCGTGAGCCAGTGAAGTAGATCCTCATAGTGTGCTGTGAATCAGAGCCCAGTACACTCGGGTGCCTAGCTATTAGCAAGTGGTAACTGTTTGCACTTTACTCAGCAACTTAATTTTCTTTACAATCTGATAGATAAATTTTAATGATGTTCCCAAGGCCTGCTTTAAGACTCACTTTTCATCCCAGAAAGGAAAGATCAGAAATCCCTTTAAGGATAGGAGGAGTAAGAAATACTATTTAGGAGAAGTAAGGAATACTATATTTAATATAGTGATTCTGTTGATTATAATTTCATCAGTATTTTGAGTTACTGCATATAGGCTTAGGCATTTCCAGAAGCATAGTTTTATATTTAAGTAAACAATGCCCAGTTTCATACATTTATTGTTATTCTACTTATTTTACTTAGTTATTTACTTTTATACTTACTTCTAACCTATGTTCACATACTTACCCAAACAGTGTACTGGGGTTCCGAAGTACTGCAGTCTTTTGCAAATATATAGGAGCAATTTCCTGGGAAGTAGTAGTAGATGCCATCAAATGTTTCAAAATGATACTGTCCCCATGATTTGCAAATCCCATCTCGGTCCTTACCAGTGTTAGGTACTGGAGAGAACACAATGAGTTTACAACAAGTAAGAGCTCAGAAAGGAAACAAAAGCTTATAAAGGAAATACATAGCAACAACAAAAGATAAAGCTATTTCTTAAACTTTAAATAAAGCCAGGGCTTTTTTTAATCTTCAGTCTGCAGTTTTAATCATGTGCAATCTCATTAAGTTTTTTATTTGCTTCAGTGGAGGCATTTAAATTACAAGTAGAGGCAATGAGTTTAGATGTTCTGCAGATCCTTGAAGACAATTCTTGTTGATCCTTACACACAGCAGATTCCAGAAACTACTGCACTGACATAGTTGGTAATTTTATTTGCAATAAGTCACTGCTTGTTAGAAAAATGCAGTGGCTTTTTGGTTGTTCAGCTAGCTATAAAAAAAGCTGTCTGGCTACTGATGTACTAGACAGTGATCTATCTCTTATGGATGCAGTGGCTTTTTGGTTGTTCAGCTAACTATAAAAAAAGCTGTCTGGCTACTGAAGTACTAGACAGTGATCTATCTCTTATGT